ACAGTCCACTCAGCTGACACTCCATTTACCATGAGTATTCCATTATATATTTCACTTGTATCTCATAGATGGGGCGGCACAGTGGCTCAGTGGTTAGCACTGCTGCCTCACAGCACCAGGGACCCGGGTTCGATTCCACCCCTCGGTGACTGACTGTGTGGAGTTTGCACGTTCTCCCCATGTCTGCATGGGTTTCCTCCGAGTGATCCGGTTTCTTCCCATAGTCCAAAGATGTGCAGGTTAGGTGGATTGGCCATGCTAAATTGCCCGTAGTGTTCAGAGATGTGTAGATTAGGTGGGTTATAGGGGGATGGGTCTGGGTAGGATGCTCTGAGGGCCGGTGTGGACTTGTTGGGCTGAAGGTCCTGTTTCCACACTGTAGGGATTCTATAATCTATGATCTTCAACATTCACTTCCTCCATCAAAGCAGAGTGACAAGAGAGTGTACCATCTGCAACATGCACTGCAGCAGCACATCAAACTAATTCAACAACATCCTCCAAACCTGCAACCTTTACCACCAAAAAAAAAAGGGCAGGGGCAGCAAATAAGTTCGAACATCACCTGCTGCAAAATGCCTCCACATCACACACCACCCTAACTTGAAACTATAATCCCCATTTCTTCACTGTTGTTAAGTTGAATGCCTGGAACTCCAATTCAAACAACACTGTTGGCGTATCTATAGAACTCCAACTACTGTCATTCAAGAAGCTGTCTGACAAAACAGAACTAGGGGCGAGAAATAAATACTGACCTAATCAGCACCAGTCACATCAAATGAAAAAAAAATTTGAGAAGCTCATTGAAAAATAAAGAAACCAAGTGTCCAATCAGCAAGGAATTGAACTACGTCCAGTAAAGAAAAACTGCTTGAGAAAGTAATGGGACTGAATCTAAGAAACCTCTGGACCCAATGTCCTACCTGCTGGGATTTTTAAAAAGCGGTGACTCCAGATTACAGTAGATGCATTGTGTTGATTTTCCAGAATTAACTGGATTCTGAAATGGCCTCGAGAATGAAGGATGACAGAAACCAGAGAACGACAGCTCAGTTAATCTGCCATCAGAAGTATGGAGTTTGAGCGAATCTATCAATAAGGAAATAGCATCAAAAACTTGTAGAAATTGCAATACAGTTTGGCAAAGTCACAGCTTTATGACTAAGAAATTGTGTTTGATACATTCTCAAAAGAATCAGCTAAGAGGCTCAGGGGTACAAGTGGATATAGCACATGTGGATCTTCGTAAGTCATTCAACAAAAGGTGCCCCACAGATTAATGCACAAAATTTGCGCAAACACAGAAACACAAGCAGGCGGCCATTCGGCCAATCTGCCATTTAACACTGTCACATCTGATCCTGTGTCTCAAAACTATAATCCTTGGTATCTTTATCTTCTAAAAACGTGTTTCCTTCTAAAATATATTCAATAATTTAGCCTCATAACCCTTTGTGGTACAGAATTCCACATGTTCACCAGCCTCATGCACTGCAAAATCAATTTGTGGAGGAGCGATGAGTCACTTTCATAGGGTGTTGCTAGCAAACTGCCATAAGGATTAGTACTTAGACTTAAACAATTTATGATATCAGTGACTAATCAACTGTAAGACATTCAAGTTTGGTGATGATAAATAAGGCAGCGAGTAGGTAGAGAAAAAGTTGGAATAAGACAAAGAGAGTGTAGAAGGTTAGAGGCCAGTTAAGTCATTGGACAAGGTGGCAGTAGAAGAAATAATCAGATGGCAGAAGTACAAAATTATTCATGTTGGTAGGAAGAAAAGGCTAGGCTAGTAAATGATGGTAATCAGAAAATAAACAAAATCATAAAAAGGCAAGTGCAGCTAACAATTGGGAAAGGAAATTATATGCTAGTCTTCATTACAAAAGCAGCTGGAATATAAATGTAAGGATGTCTCATTGCGATTATATTAGGATTTGATTAGATCAAACTGAAGAATCTATACACTGTTTCGGTCTCCTTATCCAAATAAAGGGCATATTTGCTGGGATTACGGTTTACCAGATTAAAACCTTGGATGAGAGGGATATCCTAAAAGCATAAATTAAGTAGAATGGGCCTACATTCTCTCAAGTTTAGAATGCAAGGTGAGCTCATTAACCATTTTATATGTTTCAAAGGATTGACAGGGTAGATGCTGAGACAGCAAAACCAACAAAACTGTGGATGCAAAAACAAAAATTGCAGTAAAAGCTCAGCAGGTCTGGCAGCATCTGTGGAGAGAAAATCGGAGTTAACGTTTTGGGTCGAGTGACCCCTCCTCAGGACTGATGATAGCTAGGAAATGTCGATTTATATGCAGAAGATTAGAGGAGCTGGGTGGAAAGAGTGGGTTGGTGGAGTTAGAGCCCAAAGAGCAAGAAGAACAGCTCGACAGACAGATGCCGAGAGGATATTTACCCTGGTTGGAGATTCTAGAATTCTATATTATTAACTCAAAAGAAAGGGATAGGCCATTTAGGGCCGAAATGAAAAGAATCTCATTATTCTGAGTTTGTGAATCTTGAGTGTTCCCTATCTGAGACAGCTTTGAATATGCAAAACAGTATATTCAAGATTCAAATAGATAGATTTTAGGCACTAAAGGAAATAAGGGATATAGAGCCAAGACAGGAAACTACAACAGATGTACAAGGTCTGACACAAGCTTACTGAATGGCTGAGCTGTATGGTCTACTCCTGTAGTTAGTTAACATGGACCTAATCACAAGCATAGGATCAACTTCTGCATGTCAACTATTAACAGGTAACCTTATTGCTTTGCTGTGAAGCAAGTCTCCTGTAGCACAACAACTGTAAGATGAAGCCAGTCTGCTTAATGCCTAAAAAGCAAATTTCTTATAACAATGCACCATAGTGCTAAACCAGAACACACAGGGTGCCATAATATGAATGTCACACTGATTCAATAAGTTCCAAACTGCTGGAAAATTAGATAAACTCTCTCCTATGTATAGTTATCATCAGTTCATTTAACAGCTGATCAAGATTCCAATTTGCAGAAAACAAATACGGTTATTTTACAACATAAAAATCACACCTGAAAGTTTTAGACTACTACATCTCAGAACATATCATCCAGCTAGTTTTTTCCAACTTAGAATGTATTTAAGTTTCAAAATGCATAATTCACCATCTAATACGAATCTAATTTTGCAGTCAATTCAGAGAAAGCTCATTCCTATATTAGGGTCTTTTTTAAACATATGATATAGTTCTTAAAGTGAGGGTGTAATATTTGTAGATGGCCTAAGCTTCGACGCCTTAAGCACAGGAAAAGCAGTCACCATAATCTCAGAGGTTCCTAAGAGACGTACGCAAGTTTAGCAAATCATAAAGAGATCTGGAGAAGTCAGTATAGTGTGCACCCGACGCGGTAAACGATTCACTTACATACATGCTATAAATATTCTGCTCAAGACACCGTAGGTATTTTGCAGTATTGCATATTCTAAACTTACTGCAGTTTTGCAAAGCTGAAAGAACATACCAATTTTATACAGGTCTACATTTACAAATAATATTGCTTGGCTTACTTGGAAGGCTCTAGAAATTTTAACCAGGCGGACCGGTTTTGCAATGCATATTTATATACTCTGCATAGCAACAGAAGAGAATTTATAGAATTCCGGCTGACACTTCTTACCGCTTTAAATCGTGTACGAAATGTCGTTGAGTTTTGTACACATTTGACTTTATACACTGAAAACAATGACTCTCACCAAATAAATAGAAAGTAAATTTGGGTCAAGGACAATGCGTCAAACCGAAATCTCCGCAAAAAAGAAAACAAAAGAAACAAAATTTGAAACGATCTGGACCGGACATATTGCTTACTATTTGCAAAAGAAAACCTTTTTCTTCCATCAGAAGACGTCGATTTGTTTTAAAGTGCTCACGTCGAACAATACACCTTCAGCGATAAGCCTGCCAAATAGTGGACCTCAGCAAACCAAACACGGTGCTCACTTTCGCTAACTTGCAAGTTAATCACACGATTGAAACGGCATTTTAAAAAAAAAACTGGTCTTACAGAGAGGGAATGTCCAATCTTATAAGAATTACAAATCAAGTCGTCCTGCGTGGGAGGAATCCACGTTCGTATACTTCTTCCCGTACAACAGCAATAGAGTGCGAGAAGAAGACAAAGATTTGTGCGCTTTACGTTCAAATGTTTTCTGATAGCAAGGTGGCATAAATTGGCCCTCGCACGAGAGGCAGGGATCACCAAGGGGCATTGCAATCGGGAAACCTCAGACTATTTTTTAATCGTAACAAGTCATTCATACTTAGAACAAATAAACAAAAGGCTCAAAACCCGGGGCAGTCAAATGGGGTAAAAACCTTCATCTTATGTAACACCAAAGATCTATTTATTCGACAATGTCAAAACAATTTCATTAAATCAATTCATTATGAAACAAAGCCACAATTTAAGGCGGCAACACTTTACAAAAACGCCCATATCCTTGTAATTTCTGATCTTCAGATAGCTACAAGAACACTTTTAAACACCCACTTTCCATGTCAAAGGTCATCAGTTGCTAATGAAAAATACAAAGTCAGGAACCCTTCAGACACAATTATTTTAAAATTACCTAACCACAAAAGTGCATGAACAAAGAAAAACTCCTATCCAACCCGAGTACCTACTTAATTATGACCAAGTTTCCCTTGCTAAACTAGCGACCTTCTCTAATTAAATCAAAGTTTTATTTAAAAATTTCATCGAAATATTCACACACTACAAAAATCAATGTCCTACGGGGCTCAATTTATGGCAGGAAGCAATGTTGGACGTATCTGCGCATGCCCAAAAAGGCCCAAGGGAATGGGCTCACTATTTCGCAGCGTGTAGGGGGACCTGGACCCCGACTCTACCACGCGAGAGATGGAGAGGAAAAAAAAGCACTGACGCTCCGAGCAGGTCGGTAATTAAAACAAAGACAAAAAAATACTGAGATGAAACTCACCACAATCAAATCGGTGACCGGTGCCGGGTGTCCCAAGAATGTAAATTCATTCACTGCACGGCAGATAAGAATCAATTTAAACCCATGAATAGGGATCTAAGTGAGCTGACCTAGCACGTCCTCCAGTGCGGGGACTCAGCCCTCACTCCGAGCGCCGGCACCAACCGCCGCTCACGTGGGGCAGCACCGCCGCCTCTCATTGGTCCGTACCGCCCCTCTCCTTGGAGACCGGGCCTTCACGAGTTCGGAGTGGGGTGCAGCCCTACTCGAGGTGGTCCGGAGAACCTAACAACCGGGAGAGAGAGAGAGAAAAGATAGATAGATAGATAGACAGACAGACACATGGAAGACTGGTGGTTCGAGGCTAACGGCGGGAAACCAAGCAGGCCACCGAGTAGAAGAAGGAAACTCTAGTTTAAATAGGATGCTGCAGTACGGAGGGTCCGGACCAAGTTGGGTCTTCCTTCCCCCCACTACCACCTCGGGAATAGGTTTGATATGGAGGTAAGGCCATAGCAAACAAATAGGACAGGTCTTATCCACTGGAGGATGGCTGGACTCCTAAATTTTAAAAGTTGGCTTTTTGGAGCTCCGCGGACTTTGACAGGAATACCAGTAGGTGTAGGGTGTCTGTTGTGTAAAAATAGTCCCATTTCATTACTTCACATAGAAGACAAATCCTTTAAATTCAACAAAGGGCAATAATGGTTGTGTTCTGCATTCAATTTACATATTAATCTTCAACTTGTCTGTAAACGTAGATAACCATTGGAACGATAGTTCAGTACTGCAAACATACTTTGATTAATTACGAGATCGTAGGAACTGCCGATGCTGGAGTCTGAGACAACAAGGTGTGGAACTGGATGAACGCAGCAGGCCAAGCAGCATCAGAAGAACAGGAAAGCTGACGTTTCGGGTCAGGAACCTTCTTCAGAAAAAAGACCCGAAACGTCAGCTTTCCTGCTCCTCTAATGCTGCCCGGCCTGCTGTGCTCATCCAGTTCCACATCTTGTTATCTTTGATTAATTCTGTTTGGTTGTATTTCTCAAGTCAGGATTCCTTACCCTTTAGCTCTATGGGCATAGACACCATAGTCTAGTAGATTCACGCCTTTTTACTTCTGCCTTCGTTTATCCACTGAGCTGTTAGCAACTTAATATTTGCAAAATAATGGAATCATGGATTCAAGATATTTGTGTGGTTTCCTGGTGCATATCCATGTGGTTCCTGAGGATGAATACAATTTCCTGTAAGAATTTTGACAAGTGTTCAAGTGTTAGAAAAGTATTTCAATCAAAATCTTTTATAAATCTGTTTTAAATGGCCTCAAGATGCTGGGAACATGATTTGGAGGGGTGGGGGCATGTGCAAAATCTTGGGAAGAGCATTCTGCCATGGTGAGACAGAAACTGGGTTTATGGGAGCATTGCTCCTTCTCCATTCTGGGTGAAATCCCATCATCAGGTGTGAGATACTTTTGGTGTTTCTCCGTGTGGCGCAGTTCTGGCCCATTTCCTCAATCTGCACCTTTTGCAGTCATCTTCCACTTCAGCTTGAGGTTAAAGATGGACCATGTCTGCAGGGACACCATGTACAAAGCTCTGGATAAGGGGGAGGAGATGGACCCAATGCTGTCCTCGTTCTGATGGCCACCTCTGTATGCAAGCACCAAGTGTCACTACGTACTGAGATTCTGCCTGACCCTGGTGTTGCAAAGGACGTGTCTAGCCTCAGTGCCTTGAATGCTCCAAGTAGTTGGACCGTTCTGTATCACCTATCCTTTGTGGAAAAATTTGCAAAGAAAAACACCTTTGGCCAAAAGTTCATCAGGAAGTGGTTCGCATGTAATGTCCTTGAGACCCTGTGGGAAAAGAGAGGGTGGATCCTATCACGTAGCTCCCTGAACAAAGTCATGTTGCAGAATGCCTGATTGCCAGAACTTTCCAACAAGCAGTAAGACTTGGCTGGTGGTGAGAAAGGCACTATCCATCAGATACTTCATGAATGCCCAGTCTCTGGGCACCACCACATGTTGCCCTCAAAGCAGCTGTACTAGTGAAGAAACTCTCTCATTTCCTTCTAGAATGTGCCTTTGCAAAGGGGGTTTGGAGAGAGATGCAGTGGTTTTTGTCAAGGTTCATCCTAAACAGCTTTGTGATGCAGTACTCTGTGCTCTATGGACTGTTCCCCAAGTCACACACCAAGACAAACTTTGACTGTGTCTGGAGGACCATTAACTTGGTGAAAGAAGGTCTTTGGTCTGCCAAAACTTATTGGGCTTCCGATGTAAAGAGTTGACTTTGACAGCGTGTTAAAGACTGGCATGTTCTTAGGTCCAGGACTACGTCACTAAAGCTCAGGGCAGCTGCCACCAAGGTGCAGTGGGAAAGACCACCATCTAATGTTGGTCTTCCAAAGGTCTGTTCAGTATCAGACACCCCCCCCCCCCCCACCCCCGCAAAATAAATTGCCTCAAAGTATATAAATAGTATCCTATATGAGTAAGAAATGCCTTTGGTTTTTGCAACTGCAGGGAATGTCTAATTCCAAAGTTTGTTTTTTTTTGATATGCAAAGATTGTGCAGAACTGTTTTCATACCTGTGAATGTATATGATATTTTTGTGAATAAAATATATTTCTGCAAAAAAAAAATTGGGCTTGGTGTTCATTAGTTGTCTATAAAATCTACATGAAACAGAGGTTCTTGCAGCCCAGGCAACAGCATCCAAAGAATGATTCTTGATATGTGAATCAGAAGTATGCAAGATTAAGAGGTGGTTACATCCCCAGTTCTAACTTAATTCACTCCACACTTCTTCCGTCTTTGGTTATATAATAGCATGGAGAAAAAAGATTAAGATCTCCTAAGTCTGCTCTCGGACATGTTAAAAGCAAGCTTCTACAGATCCATAATCCATAGGATACTGAGTCACTCCATGTGTTTGCTGTTCAACTGAATCCTTGAGCATGCCTGGGAAAACGTGGAATGAGAGAGACCAAATGGTGCTCACCAGTGAGACCATAAGACATAGCAGCAGAAGTAGACCAGTCAGCCCATCAAATCTGCTCTGCTCTTCAATGAGATCGTGGGGTTGGTCTGATAATCCTCCAATTCACATTCGTGTCTTTTCCCCATAACCCTTGACTACAGTTTAAAAATCTGTCTATCTCAGCCTTGGATATTCTTTTTTGACCCAGCCTTGACAGCCGCTCTGTGGTAAAGAATTCAACAGATTCACCACCTTCTGAGAGAAGCAGTTCTTCCTCATCTGTCTTGAATGTGTGACCCCTTATTCTGAGATTATGCCCTCTTTTCCTAGATGCTGCCAAATGAGGAAACAACCTTTTTGAATCTACCCTGTCAAGTCTCTAGAATCTGTTATGCTTTCAATAAGATCGCCTCTCATTTTTCTAAATTCAAATAAGTACAGGGTCCAACCTGCTCAACCTCTCCTCATAAGATAAAACCCTCCATACCTGATATCAGCTTAGTGAACCTTGTCTGGACTGACACCATTGCCAGTATCTCTTCCCTTAGGAAAGAGGCCTGAAACTGTTCACAATATTCCAGTTATCGTCTGATTAGTACCTTGCATTGTTTTAGTAAAACCTTCCCGCTTTTATACTCCATTCTCTTTGAAATAACAGCCAATATTCCAGTTGCTTTTCCTGAACTTAGACTAGCTTTTCGTGATTCATGGACGAGGATTCTCAAATTTTTCTGTTCCATAGCTTTCTGCAATCTTCCTTCATAATAATATTTTCAGACAGCATTCGATACAGTACCACACATTAAGCTATTTAATAAAAGCCCATGGTTTTGGAAATAGTATATTAGCATGGATAGAGGATTAGCTAAATAACAATGTGAGGTGCTGGTGTTGGACTGCGGTGGACAAAGTCAGAAGTCACATGACACCAGGTTATGGTCCAAAAGATTTATTTGAAATCACATGCTTTTGAAACATAGCCCCTCCATCAAGTGAAGTCTGAATAATACTTTGTTCCACTATTCTTCATACCAAAGTACATAACCTGACATTTTCCCACATTCTGTTCCAGCTGCCAAGTTTTTGCCCAATTGCCTAACCTGTACTCCTCTTACTTGTCTTCCCACCTATTTTTCTGTCATCCACAAACTTGACTATAGTATTCACTTTCCTCATCTGAATCATTAACAAGTTACACGTTTCTATTCTGAAAATGCCCCCCTACCCCCATTCCAACTCTATCTTGTGTTATTTAGTCAGAAGTCACACAACATCAGGTTATAGTCCAACAGGTTTATTTGGAATCACAAGCTTTCGGAGCATAGCCTGACTTCACTTGATGGAGGGGCTACGTTTCAAAAGCATGTGATTTCAAATAAATCTTTTGGACCATAACCTGGTGTCATGTGACTTCTGACTTTGTCCACCGCAGTCCAACACCAGCACCTCACATTGTTATTTAGCTAATCCTCTATCCATGCTAATATACTATTTCCAAAACCATGGGCTTTTATTAAATAGCTTAATGTGTGGTACTGTATCGAATGCTGTCTGAAAATCCAAATACATTGCTTTATACATCCTGCTTGTTATCTCCTCAAAGAATTGTCAGGCAGGATTTCCCCCTTCACAAAGCCATGCTGACTCTGCTTGATGATATTATCTATTTCTAAATGCTCTGCTATTAGGTCATTTACAATAGACTCTTTTACATTTTCCCAATAACAGATGTTAAATGAACTGTCCTATTGTTAACAACGTCTTTTTTTTTCTCTCCTTCTGTTTTTAAATAAAGGTGTTTCATTGGCAGTTCTCCAATCCTCTAGGACTTTTCCTGACTCTAATGAAGATTACTGCTAGTGTGTCCACTCTCTTTGTAGCTACTTCCTTTAATATTTCGGGATGCATCTAAGGATAGTGAACCCTTCCCAAACTGGGGAGAACTTTTTTATTGTCTCATCAAGTATGACAATTAGATTGTAGTCTAATGCTTCGACCTACAGTTTGAATTGACTAGGCCATCTATCATTGTTTTTCTTACTCCATACGTTCAGGATGTGAGCATCCTGGTATGGATGACATCATCATAGGATCCCTACCGTGTGGAAACAGGCCCTTCAGCCCAACAAGTCCACACTGACCCTCAGAGCATCCCACCCACACCCATCCCCGTATAACCCACCTGATTTA